GATTTTTCGCTTTTTAAAAATGCTTTACAGCCTCACTGATTTCAGTAAATCTGCTATTTGCGTCTAGACAGAGCTATTTGGTTTCAGCTGCAGTCTTCTCTCTTATCATCTCTGCATGCAGGGGAAAGAGAAGCCTCCCATCTAGATGACCAGAGGCCAATATATATCCAGCGCTGATGTAGAGCATGATCCTCTGAAGTCCAAGCCCCCCCACCCCCACCATCACAATTACAGTGCACATACTCAATGGCATGCATGGGCACGTGCACACCCAAACAGGGAGTTATAATTGAAGAGTTTATCGCCGGCCACTTCAATAATGGCTGTGTGACACAGAATCAGGGTCAGAGGATCTGTCTTTGTCACTTGGACGTTGTTAAGGGCCGTATATGATTAGACAGGCTTTAAATCATCCCATTAACCTATTTAATTAACCCTATCCTCCATCACAAGAGAGCCCATGTCAAGTTAGGTCGTTAAACAAAGAGTAAATAAAGAGTTTAGTGGAAGGAAGTATATATTGTTGTGGTCCTGCTTGTGCCACGCATGATGAAAAGGAAGTGAATAGGGCTGAGACTGAGGCCCCGGCCACACGAGGACGTATACGGCTAAACGCATAGGATTAACGCAAACGCAATCGCAAAAAAGCTTCCGTCCACACGCAATGTTCACCGGATAGTGTCTGTCCACACGAGACAGCTCCGTTTAGCTCCAACCGCTGGAGAAGCTGCAGTACATACGCAGGAGCCTGTACGTGGCGCTGTAACTTCCTCCACAAAAGCAGCGGAGAAGCATGGTTGTAATGGTTGCCCTTCTGTTTATTCTCCGCGGTGGGGGCCGAGGGAACCGGGCAGAGTTTTTCGCCATTCAACGTGTATTAAAGTTTAAATCTTCCGGACAAAATTATAAAAGTGCCGGTCAAACGTCTTATTTGTTATTTATTGAGCTTTAAAACAAATGAATAACGACTCTATATAATAATAAAATACATGGAGCCTCTCTTTTTCCTCCCTCTCTTCGGACAGCGTCAGTGTCTGTCTCATGCAGCAGCTGATCCAGTAATGAGTGACCCGAGAGTAAAACAGTAAAAATAAACATATTTACTAGTTTAGATAGTTCGAGAGGTAAATAGCTAAGGGTGATGATCTGACTTGAAGTGTGTGTTTTGCTCCGTTCACCGCTGCATCACAGCGGGAGGAGCTGCAGGTGAGCAGAGCGTGTCTCCGTCCAGTGTGTGCAGATCAGCCTTTCCATTGTAGGCCTAGTCGGTGTTTGTCTGGCTACGCGGAGTCCTCTTTATCAGCAGAGACCCACAACAGAGAGAGGAAACAATGTTATCAGTTGAATCCTTCTCCTGTCGTTCTCTCTGTGCCTCCGGCGGCCACTGACACAGAATAGCAATCAGCCTGTGAGCTTTGAAAAAAAAGTGAAATCATCATTCTCTAAGCAAACCTGACTTCTTTGATTTTATGTTCCTTCAAGCCAAAGGAGGAAGGGAGGTGTGTAGGGAAGAGGAGGCAGAGTGGGTTGATCTCCATACCCCCTACATTAGCGCTGTAATTCTTCTTCACCGAAGGCAAGTCCCTTAACACTTGACTGACTCAGTACTTAGTTGAGGCTCATAATGGAAATGGACTGTTGTCATTTAGGAGGATTGTGATGGGGAGAGGAAACCACTTAAAGGATTCTGGACAAGGATGTATAAAATGATTTCACTAGAAATATTTGTCCTCTGAGCGATAAGTAGCAGAAAACAAGAAAAAGGAGTCACTGTTTATCAGGTAGAACCCTGACGGAGTAAAGGATATTACCCAGCACCTTACTTGCAGAGACATATGTACTCAGTCACATAGTTATACACATGCACTCACAAACAAACATGCATGCATCTTTGTTATTTGACTGCAGCACACTTGCTATGGATTTGCATAAAGGGCTTCAGCAGTGAGAGCAGATTGGTGTTGCATTGAAATAAAGATGTTTAGACATAACATTTCTCACCAGTGGCGGCGCTAGGGGTGGCTACTTGGGCTCAAGCCCCAGATGTTTTCTGAAAAAAATGTGCAGTACCGGATTCCACCAGAGAGGCAGCCGCTGCAGGACAGTAGCCTGCATACTGCGTAGCCTTCCCTGCCCTGAAGAAGAAGTGATCCTTCCTAGTGCCCAGCGCCATATGGTTCTGCTAGTGCCTGACGAGTTTTAAGCTAATAGCCTATAAAGTTATGGATATTAGAAAGTTATTTTCATTGAAAAAAAGGCGCCACAAGCAGTATCAGCAGCTGACAACAATGTCATCACCAGCAGTGAAGAAATGGATGATGTTTCAGGTTTGTGAATGTGTCTGGCTGACTGAGTAAGAAGTGAAAAAGAGTGATGTAATGTTAATGTTATAGCTAGTAAACATGGAGTAACCACACTAATTATACCCTTATATGTTAGTATGTATACAGAACATGACTAAAAATTACCCTAAGATGTAACGTTAACCCTTCATACCTCTTAAGACACTAAAATAACGTATTCCAATTTTTATATTGTTTTGGAATTATACCGGCTCTCGTTTCAGTACACTTAACAACGGGACCATAGCAACGGAACTGACAGGCAACGGAACTGACAGGCAACCCTCTGAATCAGACTCCGATTGGCTGTCAGTTCCGTTGCTATGGTCCCGTTGTTAAGTGTACTGAAACGAGAGCCGNCTCTTGGACCTCTCTGGCGCGCAGAAATTCACTCATGTTCGCCTCCATTGCTCGCGCAACTGCAATGTGTAAATCTCCTCTCACTGAAGCCTGGTTCTCTACCACGCAGTGCGGTTTCACGTTGTGCCTGTGAGGCCCAGTCCAGTGTGGCCGTGGGATTTTGTGACCCAAACCATACGTTTATTTATTGCCAATATACACTACAGCAAAGAATAATATATTTTGTTTATATTACGTATACTCAGGTACTCTTGCTTACCTGGACACATTTCATAATACAGAGGCAAATTCTATACCTAAAAACGCATTATTTTTAAAAATAATCCTCACAGAACCCCCGTATTCCGCCCCTGGTTAACGCAGTTGCGCATGGTGCGGATTTATAAGACTGCTGACACATCAAAAGGCTGCAAGGACAATATTAGAAACTGAGAAACAAGCAAGCGGGTAAAATGGAGGCGCCTTTCTTGTGCCCGGGAGCAAACCAGCAACCACCAGCTGTTAGAGACTGCGACAACCCCACCACGAAAGAGAAGAGCGCAAAAAAATGTCAGCAGACAGTACCTTATGACAGTTATCTGTCTTATGGCCTTCATTTGCGCACGGCCGGATGTGAACAATCCTCAGGCCCGAGTGCGCTCGTCTGCTCGGCGGGAGAAAGCTTAGGGCTAATGCTAACATGCCGTTCCAAAGCAAAGCTAAGAGGCAACTTGGAAACCAAACATCCTCGGGGCCATGTTCACAGTAACGTTTTTTGCGGACTAACTTCAGAAGGAGCGCGAGGATCTGACCAGGCCAGCCAAGGACGTTTGTTGGCATTCTTTTATGAAGTGGTCTGATAAAGGGCCAATGCGAGGCGAGTTTACATGCCTAGCCGGAGCTCATTTGCGCAAAGCAGAGAAGCCTCACACAATAGCGCGAGACACTCATCCTGCCCTGGCTTGCAAAATTACTTGCAGGTTGTCATGCCCTGGGCTCCAGATGCCGCAAAGATGGAGCCATCGAAAGCCTGCCGTCGGTTGATAACCCTACGACTATCATATCAGGTAAACAGTTATTACAGTCACATGTCAGCGAGCAGACATTGCGGTTACACTACTCTACGTGGCCTTCAGAGAAACTGCAGAACGAGACGAAACGACAGACGATATGTCCTTCAATGCGAGTCTGAGAATGAATGTACAGCAAAGGACATCAGTGGGGCTGCCCCAACTTCTGGCAAACGTCGGATATGTTGATGCTGACTCCATCAAAAGAGACATTTTGTATTCTGCTAATCGTAAAATGCGAAAGCACACCACGGTGAGAGGAAATATTCAGGTTAACTAATGACTATTTAAAGAGTTACAGTATGACCTGGATATATGCGTCGGCTATGACACGATGGTGCCGGCGAGCAGATGAACGTGGTAGCAATGAAAGGATTCATTGCTAAGAGTGAGGAGCACAAAACCCACATATCGTTTAAACAAGACAGGCACTAAATTCGAAATGAGGCAATGGTAGCCACAAACACTGGCCCCAGGAGTTGACTGAGGTGCTGAATCAGGCCGACTGCAGATGGTGAATTACATAACAATCAAGCCCCTGAAATCTCGCCTCTTCTCCCAGCTGCTGCGCCCGAGATGGAAGCGGACCACCAATGCCTGATCCTGTCAAGCACGCAGATGTTTAATCCCTCGTTGGCTGCTCACGGGGGAAAACTTCGCTAGTCCCGTCTTTAAGAGACAGCCGGGACCCCTGCTTTTGTTCGAGTTATCAGGTGCAAAACGCCTGTCCCACACAGGTCAAGGGTAGTGGGGATGAGAGGTGGGTGCGCCCGTGTCTGGGGCGATTACCTCGCAGACATATTTCCAGCTAGCAGTTGGGCCCCAAACTGATCTCAGGGAGCTGGTTCAAGTATTTGCGGCGTCCCCACGGAGCCCGCCACTCCTCTCTCTCTGTTCATGAATTGCTCTCAGGATCGTGGAATCTGTTGGGCAAGTCTATGCACCCCCATCTTCCCGCTGGCAAATAAATGCCACAACCTCTGCTTAAGGTCTGGTGGCACACAGCGCGTTGCGGCCTTGCGGCCAGCTGCTTGCCAGCGGGACCACATGCCTGGAGGCTCAAAGCTCCTGCCACAGGAGATACCATCAACCTTCCGCCTCTTCTGGACGATAAAATGTTTTCATTCCTTCCCTGAAGCTTGCCGTTTAACTCGTTCACTGATGCCCAAATATGTCTGCGAGGTAAAGCCAGCCTGGCGCACCACCTCTCATCCGCGAGCTTGTCTTTATGTGGGACAGCCGTTTTCACCTGAAAACTCCAAAAGCTTTCCCGAAGCTCATAAAGACGGGATAGGACTTTCCCCCGTGACAGCCAACGTACCTCTGTGTGCAGGATCAGGCTTTGGTGGTCGGCTCCCATCTCGGCGCACAGCTGGGAGAAGAGGCGAGATTTCAGGGGCCTTGATTTTATGTAATTCACCATCTGCACGGCCTGATTCAGCACCTCAGTCAACTCCGGGGGCATGGTTTTGGCAACCAATGCCTCTCGGTGCAGAATGCAGTGGTTTGTCACGATATGTGGGTTTTGTGCCCTCACCTTAGCAATGAATCCTTTCACTCTCCCCGTCATGCTCGCCGCACCATCTGTGCAAAGACCGACGCACATATTCCAGGTCAGACTGTTCTCTTTAAAATAGTCATTAGTTACCCTGAATATTTCCTCTCCCGTGGTGTGGCTTTCCATTTCTTTGCAGAATAAAAATGTCTCTTTGATGGAGTCAGCATCAACATATCTGACGTTTGCCAGAAGTTGGGCAGCCCCACTGATGTCCGTAGATTCATCTATTTGGAGGGAAAATCTGCCGCTCGCCTGCAGTTTCTCTGCCAAATGTTCCTCAATGTCTTCGGACATGTCGTTGATTCTTCTTTTGATCGTATTATCAGACGACGGCACTTTCGATAGCTCATTTGCGGCATCTGGACCCAGCATGACACCTGCAAGTATTTTGCAAGCAGGGAGGATGAGTGTCTCCGCTATTGTGTGAGGCTTCTTCTGCTTTGCAATGAGCTCCGCTAGCATGTAACTCGCCTCCATTGCCTTATCAGACACTTTCACAGAATCCAACAAACGTCCTTGCTGCCTCTGGTTCAGATCCCGCGCTCTTCTGAAGTAGTCCAAGTTACTGTGAACATGTTTGGTTTCCAAGTGCCTCTTCAGCTTGCTTGGAACCATGTTAGCATTAGCTAACTTCTCCCGACAGACGACGCACTCGGGCTGAGGATTGTTCACATCCCCGGTCCAAATGAAGCCATAAGACAGATAACTGTCATGGTACTGTCTGCTGACAGTTTTTTTCCTCTTCTCTTTCGTTGGTGGGTTGTCGGCAGTCTCTACACTGGTGGTTGCTGGTTTGCTCCGCACAAGAAAGCGCTCCATTTTCCCGCTTGCTTGTTTCTCAGTTTTAATATTGTCCTTCAGCCTTTGATGTGTCATAGTCTTATAAATCCCACCTGCGCAACTGCGTTAACAGCGGAATACGGGGTTCTGTGAGGATTATTTTTTAAATAATCGTTTTTAGGTATAGAGTTTGCCTCTGTATTATGAAATGTGTGCATACAAAGTACTGATATAGTAAATAAAAAAATAATTATTTTTGTGTAGTTGTATATTGCAATAATAACGTATGTTTGTCACAAAATCCCACGGCACACCTGGACTTGCCTCACGGCACACCAGTGTGCCGCGGCACACCGTTTGGGAACCACTGCTCTAGACGACGTGAGTCAGACTGCTGTTCTAGAAGACGTGAGTCAGGCTGTAGCTCTAGAAGACGTGAGTCAGAGTGTAGTCCCTGTTGATGTGGGTCAGACTGTTGCTCTAGAAGACGTGAGTCAGACTGCTGCTCTAGAAGACGTGAGTCAGACTGTTGCTTGACTGTTGGGTTCACATATATAGTTGTGTGTTGAGCTATATATTCACTGACTTTCTGATGTGAACTTATCTGAAAAGTCAAAAAGCCCTGTTGTATATCTGAAACTGTTTGGGAAAGTTATTATGCTGGACCAGTTGAGAATGGTAGGTCTCGTAAGTGCTTCAGAAATGCATCATGGTTCACTTGGAGGTCATAAAGGCTGGAGGTCGGGGGTCTGACTTATCAAAAATAAAATCACCTGACACAGCGGTTGTGACGTATGTAGTCACACCCCTCATGTGCTCATAGCTGTATCATAAAAAAACAGACAATTTAAATACGTTTTTTTAAAAGATTCTCATGTAATAACTGAAGGCAGTATTTGAGGTGTTTGGAAAGCATAATATAAGTCAACGTTGTCATACATCGAATGCATGGACGTTCCACAAAAACAGATAAGTTCTCGAGCTTTCCCTTTTGCCGATGCTGTCTCTCCCTCTCACTGCTACTCTGCTGTTTATTTGACTGAAGTAAGTCATCACTCGGCAGCTCTGGGACTCGTCTCCCAGCTCAGCGTGCTCTCATCATTTCACTGGCAAAAACTCAAAGTAGGCGAAACATTTTTCGCTAGCAGGAAGTGGCTCTCCACAGAAAGCTTTATTCTGAGAGGCGTTCCTTTCATCTAATGTGCTGCAGGCCATTGCAGACTCACATATGGGCACAAATGTGTACAGACACACATGGGGCAATCCTTACAGAGGACTCTGTGTGTGTGTGTGTGTGTGTGTGTGTGTGTGTGTGTGTGTGTGTGTGTGTGTGTGTGTGTGTGTACTCGTTTTGCAGGTTGTTTCATTTTGCATCGTCACCCATGAAGAGCCTCCCCTCACATTCTTTCAGCTTCATCATTGGCAGTAAGTATTCAGATCCTTTCCTTGACTAGAACTACTCATACAAACATACTTCTTGTCACACTGTCAAAATACAAGCAACATTCCTCCTGCATATTAATAGGTAAACATATCCAAGTAGGTATTGGGAGAAAGAAAGCAATTAGACAGATCATGTTCCCTGTCTGTTTTTCACTATTAAATAAGATGTTGTTGGATTAATATTAATGATGCAATAATGTGTTTGTTGAATCTACTAATGTAGATGATCGAGACGGAGCTATTTATACTGATACAGATACAGAAAAATAAATAAAACCTGTAACGATGCATTTTCCAGCTCAATCCGTTCAGTTTATTACAAAAATGTATGATATAAAAATGTGAAGATACATTTTACAGGCCTTACAGATTTTGCTGGACAGGAAGGAGTTGAAAAACTGTAATTTTGGAATTAACTTGTATTGTTAGACGAATGAAGTGCAGTAAAAATAACACAAATTACTGCTGACTGAGATGAAAAAAACGTACGGCAAACTCTTAAGTACAGATTCCACCTCTACTCTTTCGTTATGTGACGACTGTACATCGTACAAGTTTATTTAATCAGTGATTCTGTAAATCCGAAGCATGAATATTATAGCCATTGCAGTAGAGGACAGTAAAACTCCCGATCAATTCAACACTATTTTTTTATTAGCATATCGTTTCCCATGAGTCTTTGCTACTGATACACTGTCATAACCTCATGGGAGTTGTTCTCTTCATATTTTAATTGAGAACTGACGCATTATGTTATTTTGTTTTAAGAGTCCTGAGATATTAGTGTTGTTGTTGAAAATGCTCTTGGGTCAGTTAAAAGCTATTGTTTAGTTTGTCTCCAGGTTTCAGGAGGCGGGAATGTGTCAGCAGGCAAGTGGGAGGAAGGATGGAAAAAGACACTAATTTTCCTTGTCTTACAGTGACCTTTAAGGTGACTGTGTGTGTGTGTGTGTGTCAAGGGTAGTCAGGAGGTAGGGAGAAACACTTCTCACCATCACATCCACATAAGGTAAGGGTGGTCGTGTGTGGAGGAGGAAAGATGAGCGGCTGGTATCTTAGCAACAGCACGTTAATGGAGGAGAGAGGAGAATGCGTCGGTGAAGGTGAGGCAAACTACCACACACACACACACACACACACACACACACACACACACACACACACACACACACACACACACACACACACACACACACAAGTTTGTAGCCAGAGCCCTTGGATAGCAGACAAAAGGTATTCTGTTTGAGCTCCCTGATGTCGTTATCCAAGTCACGGAGAGAAGTTTCATGTTTTCAGGATACCATTTTCAAGCTGATATTGATGTGTCCTTGTGAACCAAATGTTAACATATCTCATATCCTAACAACTTTTATGCCATAAGTATTAAGTCATAACTCCCTCTGAAACACAGAAGGGCAGAATAACAAAGAATGTAATGGGGTCACTTAAAGCACTATGAGTTGCGCACCATTTGTACCTGCTGTCTCAAAGTCCAATTCAAAAACATTAAATATGTTACAGCGCAAATGCGCTCATACAGTTTTGTCCTGTTATGGCATCTGATTGCAGTCATCCATTTGGCAAAATGAACATACACTTGAGGGTAAGGGGTGAAAATCAATTTAAATAAAATAAATACTGTGTAAAACTTTTTAAAGAGGCCCTATTATGCTTTTGGGGATTTTCCCTCTCCCTGTTATATAGGTTCTTTGTGCATGTACAGTATATTGTCTGCAAAGGACAACATCTAAAAGTTCCCACTAGAGGGAGTTTGTCTCCCACACACTCCCCTTCTTTTTTTGACTTGCATAACAGAATTACATCACTATGTAACACTCAGATTTTAAAGCATGTAAACGTGTCACAATAGAGGCACAAAGATGAGATTTAACCACAGAGCTTCATGCCAGAGAGGGAAAAATACTTGAACCTATTTTGTTCACATTATACAGTACATGCATTGTTAGGCAATATTATAAGGAATCACTCCGAAAACCTTCATTGTTATGCGGGTGATACTCAATTATATTTATTGAAATCAAGCCTGATGAAACCAATCATTTAAATAACATACAACATTTCTGACAGACAAAACGGAAGTTATTGTACTTGGCCTATAGGCACGGAAACAAACTATCTAAAGATATACTCACTCTGTATGGCAATAACTTGGCCTCCAGCGAAACAGTAAGGAATCTCAAGGAACGCCCTCTTTCATTTAGGCACCATTACAAACATCGAAAATAGATAGATGGTCCTTTAAACACAGAGTTTATTTTCACATAGCTTGGCAAAGAAAGAGCTCTTCCAGGTGATTAAGAATACAAAGTTGCGAATATCAATCTGTTCAGTCATTTTGGTTGCCCAATCACACAGAGAGAAAGGGCTCCAGATGCTATTCAATCATTTGTCTACCTTTCCTCTGTGTGCATCCTCTTTTTGTATTTCCTTCCTGTTCGTTTTAATCTAAATCTGACCCTTTTGGCCCATCCTGTTTTGATGATGCATCTTCACCTCTATCTCCATATTTCTCACTTTTTCCATCTCTCACCCTCATACACACACTTCTGAAAGGTGTTCCATTCTGCCTGGGTGTGAATGTGATTGGCTTCACAAGGGACAGGAAGATGACGCATGGATGGATGAATGAACTGAAAATGATGGAGGGGGGAGAGTGATGGACCAACATGGAGAGAAAGACATCTGACCTGATTCCGATTCTCAACCACAAATACACCTCTGAAATATAAAAATAAGAGCGGAGATATGATGAAGAGAGGCTGGAGGAAAGAAGAAAAGAGGAACAATAAGAAAGAAGGCAAGAAACATATAATATGAGGGCGCTAACGACACTTCCGGACAAAATAATGCATTAGAGCGAAGTGGAAAATAGTAGTTTCTTCATGACTTAAAGCTGCCGAGTCATACCTTGCACCTCAAACAACAGATAAGTCCAGAGTTACGGTTTCTTTACTTCCTCTACAGAAAAAAAGAAACGCTTTCATTCAGAAATCACAGTTTCAGTGTGAGCCTGCTGCCACTTGTCCACCGGCAGAGCGACCGGACATCGATCCCTTATTTATTCGGTGCTCCCTAATCAAAGCCGTCTATGCTATCTGATGGTCTATTTGACACGATTTCATATATTTTTTGTATTTATACAGTCTTGGACAAACTGGATTTTGTTTTCTGGCACCACTTTAACATTTTACTGGGAAAATCTGCATTTTGGTATGAGGGAACACACCAAAAGCAAGAGGGCGCAGCGCCCCTGTTACCCGGTTTAGAAAAAACTCTGGAAGGTGCAGAAAAATGAAGAAAAGCCTAGGCACTCATACTCTACTCTAAAAGTGAAGTTCATCATAACTACAGTACACTTCTGCAGCTAACTGCTAGAACTAGAACAACCTTCCACTGATGCGCTGCTCCAGTACTAGACGATTCTCTTTCTTATTCAAATCCAATATGAAGAATATACTTCATCTGAAATAAATCCATAGCTCTTTGAAACATTCCCCGTATAATGAAATGTTGAATTTGTTTGATGGAAAGTGCAGTGAGTTGAAAAGGGGTTCCTATCCTGCGCTAAATGTTAC